CTTGCGATCGAGAACAGGATTCGCTAGCTAGCATACTTAATAGCTTGGAAATCGAATTCGACACGAAACCGATAAAAATGTAGTCGAATTTCCTAAGTCGGAAAACGCTTGGACGAAGCTAAGTTTGGCAATTTTTGTAGGAGAATCGGGTTAGGCAGTGGTATGGTCTTAGGGCTTGTTTTAGTAGCCCAACATGCCATCTCGAGTGTAAAATAGGTGGTTTAGCAATTGGAGCATCGAGTTGAATTTTTTGGGGCGCTTTAAAAACTGTGCATGCCACGTTACCGTCAGCTGCTATGTTTTGGCGCGGTCACCATGCCTTGGTTCGGCTCGACGCCGTGGCACTAGCTTGCCCAAGCGCGCACCCGCACCACCATGCCGCGCCCGAGCACACGACGCACGCACACACACACGCACACCGTGCTCGGTGGGCCTGGTCGCCCTACCACCGCCGTCGTGTCCGCCTAGCCACCCTGCCACCACTGTCACGTCCACCTGGCCGCCCGGCCACCACCGTCGCATCCGCCTGGCTGCTTTGCCTCCACCACTGTTGTCGTAGGCCCGGTGCCTTGGTTGGTCCTCTGCCGTCATCGCCGGCACGCGCGCGTGCCTCTACATCGCATTGTCACCTCGCTTGCGCTCACGTCACATGCATCGCGACATCGCTGCCGCTGCTGCGCATGCTCGCTACGCCATCATGTGGCATGGCCACCATCGTCTTGCAACTCAAGGCGCTATGGTCGCACGTTGTGGTGCCGGTCTCGTACGTGCACGTGGAGCCATCAACCGTCGCGCTGCCATCCTCTCCCATTTAGTGACAGCGCCACGCCACGCTCCCCATCACGTCGCCTTGAATGGTGTCGCGCTGGTCGGCCGAGCCACGCCAAGGCCAACCCACAGAGCTGGCCCCATCCTTGTAATTACGCAATTTTGGAGGTTGATTTGGAGTCCAGCTTCGTGCCAAGCTTGCCACTGCCGCTGTCGTACGGTGTCTGTCTTCAATTTGAGTTTTCCCCCGCCGTCGACCCCCTTAAGTCTGAACGGCGTCATCCACCCAATTGACCTCGCTCCATCCACCCCCGTCCAATTAACCGTGTACCCAACTAGCTCTGGTAGTTAGCCTATGATTGGAGTCGACCCGACGAGCTTTCGTCCTCTAGTGAGGTAATGCGGGGCATTTTCCTCGTGGCGGTCCGCCATGGCCATTGAGGTGGGTGCTCGGCTAGGGCGTCGCTCCGTGCTCCATTGTTTCAATTAAGTGGTGCTTTTGCGTCGTGTTGACTTGGTTGCCTCCCCCATGTAGCAGTTTCGCCGGTGGAGCAGCAGGTCACTGGGGACGCCATCGCCGCGCTTGCCATGAACCAGAGCAACCCCACGCTCATGGCCAACCACCTTGTCGAGCCCTGTGACTTCGTCTAGGCCGTCCTTCACGTCTCTGGTGAGGCACCTTGGCTCCTAGGGTAGACAGTTGAACTGGTTGAGGTCTAGGATCGCCGGGACGCGTTTGCTGCTGCCGGTGAACCGGGTTCGATGCCATTCCCATGGCCAGCGAGTTGGAGTGTAGTAGCGATTCAAATAAGGCTTCTATCTTGTTGCTCGTAGTCTATAGATGGATAAAGGGTAGCGGTAGAGGCGTTGAGCTAGGTAATTTCGCTGGCGCTGGTGTTGCCGCGGCAAGACCCTGCCATGGCGCATGGCCACATCTACGCGCTGCACCATTTTTAGTATTTGATACCTCGATCGGTTGCGCTTCGCTCGTAGAGTGCTAGGGAGGTGATGGTTGAGGCCGAGGAGGTCCGTGCTCGCCAGTGTTTGGTCGGAGATGCCGCGGCCTTATTGAGTTCCGGCCAGGCACCCTGGAAAACGGGAATTCAAGTAAGAGCAGGGTGCTAGATGCAAAGGCCGTGACTCAGTTAAATAGTATTGAGTTAGCTTCGCGAATAGGATAGAGAACGGGGGCTCTTTAGCAAAAGAGCCAGCTCATGCGCAGGCTTTGTCGTGGGCCACGTCCACGCGCCGCGCGCGTGGGCCACACGGGTGTGCTGCTCATGCGCAAGAGTGGGCCACGCCGCTCGCTCGCGGGCCACGCTGTGGAATTCGGTTTTTCATTTTCCAGTGAATTAGTAAAGGTTTATTCAATTTAGTTTTGAGCTAAACTTTAAAAAATTATAGTAAATTATATAGATATTCAAAAATAGTGAAACAAAAATTGTTAGGTTCACAAAAATGCTATCTATCTGTTGGTGTAGTTAGTTTACAGTTAGCTATGATAATGATAGATTCATAAATTCAATTTAGAAAGCTTAGTATTATTTAGCTCAATATTTGTAGGAATTTTTGTGGCAAATCAATGGTAGCTTTAGCGATGAAATTTTTACAGTAGGTTCATTAGATTATTATGTGCTCATTGTAATTTTTTAGCCCTTAAGTAGACTGATATATAGGGTAGCTAATACTCCTTGTTTTAGTATATATATAGTAAATCGGTATTAAGAGTAAGAATACCTGTAGTTGTTAAGATAGTACATGCCATGTTTCATACTTGTAGTGGAAATGATAAGAAACGTAATGTCTTAGTCGGTAGAGCTAGTTTAGTAGCTTAACAGATGTATTCGTATTTTAAGAGTTGTTGTTCCGTATTACTAAGTGTTGCATCATCATTTCATTCATATAGATCATGAGTTGGTAGAGTTTGTGCCTGCAGATGAACAGGACTACGAGGAGATTATTAAGGAGTACAAGGAGGAGATCCTCGTGCAGGAGGGAGCCCTAGAGCCGTTTGTTGCTGACTTTGTTGACACATTGCCTGCCCAAGGCAAGCCCCGGTACATAACCTCTATTTTTGAATGATCACTGAATATATATATATATATATATGATGTGTATTTACGTTACAGGTATTTTATGAAAACTATATGCATAGATATACTTACCTATGAGTCCTACTAGTATAAGTCGAGTAGCTGCTATGCTCAGGGTATCAATAGCGTGAGTAACCTACCGTTACTCATAATAGGTGAAAATTATGATCACTCATGATAAAATGGTGGAAAGGAAAATGAAAATCGGGTAGAGATATGGTTTGGGTATTGGTGGATGTAAAAGGTAGTGTCATGTGGCCAACAGGGTTTAGCTTGGTTACACTTTTTTTTTCTGTCTGTGTCGGTTAAGAACCGGCCATTGTATTGGTCTTTAGGCAAGTCACAGATTTATTATTCCGAGCACATACTTGGGTATGGTCGTAGAGAAGACTTGTTGCTCTCTTATCGTAGGTTCCGGCTCTTTTCGGACCGACTAATTGGAGATGGGGATGGTGGAGGCCCTTGCACCACGCTAAGTCCGGGACTTAGGAGTGGGGGCTTGGAGTCCAAGTTTAGACGGGAACCTGGACTTTGTGACAGGTGGGTGATGGGTTGGTCCTGCTTGTGCCTGGGGTATAAGCGGTGCGTGTGTTTTCAGGGTACCCAGCTGGGGGCATTGGTTCGCGAATCGCCGGGCAATCTAGTACAGCTTGTCTACGGTCTAGCACCGTAGTAAGAACTGAAAGATGAAAGGTGATAAAATGGAACTGATTGCTCAACTCTTGCTTGAAAGTAGAACATGTGCTTACATAGAATGTCTAGATAAAGAATTAATCAGGACTACTAATAAAAACATAAATAAGGATTCACTATTAGCATTGATTTCTGCAAAAAGAAACCCAGTGAACCATAAAGCTTTGCATATCCCTGGGAGTCGGGAAATTATTCCCACTAGTCGGATAAGTCTTGCGAGTACATTGTGTACTCAGGGTTTATTTATGCCTATTACAGGTAATGCTTGAGGAATAGCCGTTGTGTGAAGGATTATTTTGGTGGGCACAGACGGATTCTTATTCGTTACCGATAGATGTGTATTTTCATTCCGCTGTTTAACATTTCGTACTCTAAATTTGGAACTGTAATAATATATTTCTAAGAACTCTGGATATATGAAATGGATTAAGTATTGTAACTCGTTCTCATTATTGGATCTTTGAAGAAAAATATAGACTTTTCGGGCTCTTTCTTGTGGTGTACCCGACGGAATCCGTATAATGTAGCTTAATTTTGGAGTGTTTAATGTCAGTGGAAAACAAACGTATCCATAAGTACGTTATTTCGAGCCGTTCTTGCCATGGCTGGCCGCTGGGCAGCAGTGGCGCGTCACGCGCAGGGCGCCCCTCGGCGGGGTGGCAGAGCACGGGCGGACGGCGGGGGCCGGGCCGGTCGGCGCCGGCAAGGGTTTGGAGTCTCGGAGAAAAGCAACGAGGTCGCGGACGGGCGGACAGTGGACAAAATGGGTCTGGGCGACCCGGGGACCTCGTGTCGTGTTACCTCCGCGTGGACCCGGCGACACATCGTCACTATGTCCACATCGTTTGGCCACACCCCCACGACTCAATCCACGCCTCCAACACGTGACCTCCACCGCTGAGCCTTACCTGCCACCTCAGTCCCTATCCACAGGGCCCCTCTTACCCAGGTCCCACGGACCAGTGATACATACCCGCGACGAGCACGTGTAGCACACACGCTCCTCCTGTACGTGGGGCCTAGTTAGTTATGAGGATACGGGCACGAGGTCCTGCATCCAATGCCAACGACAGGGACGCACAACATCTACACCGTCCGTAGAACCGATCGACGGCTGACTTGCCTCTCGGCTCATGGACCCGGCACGGCCATGACTATCAAAGCCTTCTCGGACCCACACGTCAGTGACGCCCAGGCGTCGACGCACGGTTTCGATGTTGGGTGCACTCGCACCACCATGACGACATCCCCTCTTCTCCACTCTCTCCCTACGACTTCAACTTCCTTTCTCTCTCAATCTCCTCTCCCTGTCTGCTGGCCGTGCCTTTGCGTGCGACGGGAGCTTGGGATCCACGGCGTCGGAAAAGTGGCCGGCTGAAGAAACCGATTTCCCCAAGATTTTTGTCCGTCCTATCCCTTGCAGGATCGGACTCTCCGTCTCTGGCCATGGCTCTCGGCGGACTCCGCCGGCACGTCGGCCAGTTCTTGACCAGCAGCAATGGTGCGTAATTCGGTTGCCTTTCGAGCTTTCTTTTGGTTCTTGCGCCGTCTAGCGTTGAGATTAACCGGCCTCATGCTGATATGGTGCGTGCGCGCAGAGCTTATGGCGGCGTCGCTCTCGGCCGTGAGCTGCGCGGACGAGGTGCAGGAGGAGGCGGAGGGGGCGGGGTGCCGTGACGACGCCGCAGCGCTGCGGCTCAAGGAGGTGGCCATGGCGGCGATCCTGGTGGCCGCGGTGCTCGGGGTGGGCCTGCCGCTCGCGGGGCGGAAGCGCCGCGCGATGCGCACGGACAGCGCCGCGTTCCTGGCGGCCAAGGCGTTCGCCGCCGGGGTCATCCTGGCCACGGGGTTCGTCCACATGCTGCACGACGCCCAGCAGGCGCTGTCCAGCCCGTGCCTCCCCGCCTCGCCGTGGCGACGGTTCCCGGTCCCCGGGTTCGTCGCCATGGTCGCCGCGCTCGCCACGCTGGTGCTCGACTTCCTCGCCACCAGGTTCTACGAGGCCAAGCACCGCGACGAGGCCGCGCGCGTCAAGGCAGCCGCCGCCGCCGCGCTCGTTGCCACCTCCTCCTCCGCGAGCGACGAGGACATCACCGTGGTCACCGTCGACGCTGAGGACGAGCGCAAGGCACCGCTGTTGCAAACGCACTGCCATGGACACTCGCACGGACACGGACACGGACACGGACACGGACACAGCCACAGCCATGGGCATGAGCTGGTGCAGGCAGAGGGCAGCGAGGGGGAAGTGTCGGCACATGTCCGCTCCATTGTCGTGTCACAGGTGCTTGTTTGATCAGTTCACTTGGGATGCTTTGGTGTTTCATTCATCGTGCACGCTGTGATGACCATTGCCTTGGTTGCAGATACTGGAGATGGGGATTGTGTCACACTCTGTGATCATCGGATTGTCACTGGGAGTGTCGCGGAGCCCATGCACAATCAGGCCACTTGTAGCAGCGCTTGCCTTCCACCAGTTCTTCGAGGGGTTTGCACTAGGTGGGTGCATTGCTCAGGTGAGAATTTCAGTAAACTGCGGTTCAAAGTTGAGTCATTCTCATCACTTGATCAACAATTGCTTTGGCATGTTTTAAGAGCACCCTGATGTATGATTTTGCACATAGTGTTGAAATTATTGATTTTCTTGGTACTCTGCACACTGTAGTACATTACTTTCTTATGAGACTTGCTCCATCGTCAATTTGATGGTTGGGCAATCGTCCTTTAAGAACATGGACCCATCCTTGAAACTTCAGAATTCAAACATTTGGCTTTGATAATATAACTGAGCATTGTACATTGTTGGGATATATTTTTCTTATTTCAATTTATGTCCATTTATCCATGTAAATGGTCACCTTTGACTTGACTTCTAAAATATAAACTACGCTTGTCTAGTACTTTGTGAATAACGGCCAGCCGAAATTTTTAGTACTTTATGAATAGTATTGCGGAGTAATGACCATTTGGTTGGATGTCCATTTACTGATTGGGTTGCTTTAGCACTAAATGGTCCCAGGAAAAAAATACATGGACATGTTTATGCATTACTACTTATTTACTTTGTCTTCCCCTTTTTTTTTGCTTAAATTATTTTTTCTTCACTTCTCTGACTGTGCTGCTTCCTTTTCTCACTTTAATTATTAATCGAGGCACTACTACATTTCTCCCAACAGGCACAATTCAAGAACCTTTCGGCAATTCTAATGGCATCTTTCTTTGCCATCACAACACCGGCAGGAATAGCTGCAGGGGCAGGCTTGACCACATTCTACAATCCCAATAGCCCAAGGGCTCTTGTGGTTGAGGGCATTCTTGACTCGGTGTCGGCTGGCATCCTCATATACATGTCACTAGTGGATCTCATTGCTGCAGATTTCTTGGGTGGAAAGGTGACAGGGTCCCTGCGACAACAAGTGATGGCATACATCGCATTGTTCCTCGGTGCGCTCTCGATGTCATCACTTGCAATATGGGCTTGAGACCTGCCCTTGATTATATATCAGATAAATGATGAAGTAGTGTCCATATAAAATTTCTGTAGTATGTGTACAGTTTTAATGTGTATGTAGTATTCTGTTGTGTCTCATAGTGTTTTTTCAGTCAGAACAGTGTTTTTCTCTCACAACAAATCAGCCAGAACAGTGTTTCGGATTGTTTTTTCAGCGAAGCGAACAGGGCCAGTATGGTAGCTTCCTTCGGGATCATCATAGGATAATATGCCTTGTTTTTTAAGGGCATGAAACAAACACCGCTGATGTAAAAGGGGCACTTTGTGCCTGTAATGCCTCCACAATGGTGGTTACTCTGATGAGATGGTGACTATTTCAATTGGGTTTTATATGTACTGGAGGGTGAACTATGTCGTTTCTTTAAGAGAGGAGCAAGCAATGTTATGTTTGACTGCGCTGAAGGACTGCCTGTGCTGCTAGCTTTGTGTCAATTGTGGGTGTGTGGCTGGTCTTGGCATTTCAATTTTTGCAAACTGTAATAGGTTCGCTAGTTTTCTGTCAAATATGAAATATTAACAACGTTGACAGATTACCACCAATTGATCTTAAGCAAATGGTTTGGACTCATTTACGCCTGGTTGGATCCATTTGTCCTAATAATTAGTGGTTAAAATTGGCCGGGTGAGGATCCAAACTGACGTGCTAACTATTACCAAGTATATGAGCTAACAATTAGCTCATTAGTTGGTGAAAGGGTGCTAATAGTCTGTATACACCTCCAATCAACTATCTTATCATCTATTAGCAGGTTGATCTAAACAACCCCTACCAATAATTAGACAACCCCTGTTAATAATTAGCTAGTGAATGGTTAGTAACTAGCTAACTATTAGTACAAGAAGATCTAATCAGGGCCTTAGTAATGGTTAGGGAGATGATTTTCAGACGTACTTGGGCTGTGCAGTCTGTGGAGTAGAATCTAGTGTTCTTAACGAGGTGTGATGTGAGGTCAAGTTAGTGGCCTCTCATGTTCATGTAGTAGCATCATCAAAAGGCAATGCCTAGAAGCGCCGGCCCTTACCTGAAGACGAAATGTGTTGGTTAAACTGTAAAGTCGTACACCTTTATTTTCTTAGTGCACCGTGCTCTTGCTGTAAGTGCTGAAGAACCTTCTAGTTCAGACGGCGAAGAGAACGGCAACCACAGGTGGCGGTGGCTAGTGGCGAATCTGGATTTTAGCTTTAGTGTATGCCGTCCAAAAAATTTTCATATCTAATTTAGTAAATCAATTTTAGCAATTCGGTAATAATTGTAAAATTAACAACGTGATTCGGTATATATGTACTAAGTTACGTAATAAGGCTTAAATTTATGGATTAAGTTGAAGCCATCGACTAAATACAATATAAATAGTTCAAAAGTTATACCGATGACTGAAATATAGGCATAAAAGAGTACCGGAGACTTACAATGCTATTTTTTTTTACTATTTTATTCAATGCTTTCGAAGAGACATAAATATCTTGATTATAGCATCTTCATCAACTTCAAAAAAATGCAATATCCGAGTTTTTCTTCGTAACTACATAAATATTAAAACACAATGTTAAATAATTAAATAATTTGTTAGTTGTGATGTTAACAAATAGCTACGAAAGTAGACAATAATTTTTTATAAAAAGACGAAGAGCGGAAGATTAAATTTTACCTAAAAGAAATAGTGACGAGGCTCAGTGACGGTTGCGGCTGTGCAAACTGTAACCGTAGACGAGTGATTGATCGGAGGGCAGCGAGGCAGAGGCCACAGGCCACAGGCCACAGGCGACCAGGACCAGGGCGTGACTCTCACGCCTCGGTGCGTCCGCCGGTCCACCTTGGGCGGCAGCCTCAGGGCGGCGCCGCGGCGGCCTGTTTCAAGAAACAATTCCCCGCGACCCATTATAAAAGATGTTCTTCCTTCTTATCCAACGGAAAAGTTCATCTTCCTTCTCAATCATCGGTTTGATTTTTTCGACCCCTATACGCCACTGCCATTAACCTGTGCGGTAACGTCAGCTAACAAGAACTCAAAATGCCCATTTTACCCTTCTTACAAATGGGCCCCATGTGTCATCTTCTTCCTCCTTTCCTCTTGCACCATAGGCTACTCGGTTGCACCGCCCGTCACCACCACGCCAGGCCGGTGGTAGCAGCGGCCGGAATCCCACCCGCGTTTCCCCGGACGACAGGGGCGAATCTATGTGTATGCACTGGGTCAGCTGACACCGGTAACTTGCTAGAAACTTGTTAGTTGATCTCCAGCTAATTGGGCCCTTGGATCCACGCCCTAATCAGGGGCGTCCAACCCTAATATGGTTGGTGGCCCCCATCGCACAGCGCCATAAATTGGAGGTGGGGGCCAGGACGCCTAGCACCCCACCTACAGTCCTAAACCCTAACCGATCACAGAGGGGGCGCTGCCAGCGACGGGAAGCACCGCCACCGGCTAACGCCACCACTACAGTGCCGCCCATCGACACAGCACCGTAACTAGGTCTTCACCAAGCACCGCGATGGCGAGCCTATCTTCCTCGAAGGCGGCCGATGGTTAGCACCCCTTCACCCCTCTCTCTCTCACTCTATCTATTAATCCTGTACTAGTTGATATCCTAGGACTCACTGTTTATTCCAAAAGCATGTAGACACGCTAGATCTATGGCTAGTGATCTTGTTTTAGGTCTATCAATGGTATCAGAGGCCTAACTAGGTGTAGATCTAACCTATCGGATAAGAAAACTGAGTAGCAGCATTTAGAAGGAGATGATAGATTCGGTTTTTGGATCTAAACAGAGGATTCATCGAACCCAAAACCCCAATTGGGTGAAGAAAAATAGTAAGAAAGGGTCTTGGTTTTAAAAAGCAACTCAAACCCTAACCCTAACCCACGCGAACCGCTCGGGAAAGATGAACAGTAAGGAAACTCTAACCCTAATCTCGATCCTAACCCCATCCCCAACCCTAAATCGGATAGATCCGAGAAGAAAAGAAAGAGAAATCCAATCAGAGAAGAAAAGGGGAAGGGGAAGAGACCTACTTCACCGCTGCACCGCGCTGCTGCCTCATCGGCGCGCGAGAAGAAGGGTCGAGCCACCGCTGCACGTTGAGCGGGTGCGTGCTCTGGCCAAGGGCGTCGCGGCCAGGCCGCTCGACGGCGGCGCGCTCACTCGCTGGGGAGCGCGCGCGTCGGCGAGGGGGCCGTCATCGCCTCGCCTCACTCGGTGTTGTCGCGGGGCTGAGAGAGAGAAGGTGGAGAAGAGAACGATCAGATCTAGGGTTTGAAGAGCTTCTCACCGCAGCGCGCGTGGGGATTAGGGCACCGTCGCCCAGACCGCTCGACGGCGGTGCGCTCACCCGCTGGGGAACACACGCGTCAGCGAGGGGGCCGATGATGGCGCCACCACCTCTCTTCACTCTCGTCTTCGCTCAGTCGCTCGCTGCATCTGATCCGACGGCTGGAACGTCATGGGGCCAAAATGAGCCTAGGCGGGATTGTAGTTTCTCGGCCTAGGCTCAAGTTGCGGCTGGCGGCGGCGATGTGGCGGTGCCAGCAGATGCGTCTTGTCAGCTTCTTCTTGTTCTAGGCGGGCAGAGACCTGTTGTCATTCTTCTTTGGGCCGTTTACTCTTTACTAAAGGTGAGGGCCAAAATGAATAGCAAGAAATGATTTGAAGTTTATTTAATTTTCAGAAGCAGATTTGAATGAATTTTGATGAATTTCGAAGGTTTAAAATTTCTACTAAAATTACACCAACGTGTTACTTTTTTCAAAAAGTAGATATGAACAAGAAAATGCTTCTGAAAAGTAGATGATTATTATTTATTCAAGTTTTTGCTGCAATGTTAAAGTTTATAATCTTCTAATTAAATTTGAACCAACGGAAGAATTTAATTTGAAGAGTAGTCAATTTTAATCAGTAAATTATAATATTGTTATTTTTCTGACCAACGTTGATAATAGCAATATTATAATGTTTAATCATAAGTTTTCCATGCATTAATTCTATTTCTACCCAACGGTGATGTAGAATTAGTGTATAAGAATATTGTATGTTTTAATTTTGACCAACGTTAAATTAAAGCATGCAATTATAATGTCATATTTTCTTATTATCTCTGATGGTGTTTTTTAGGACTCAACCCAATGGCATTCATCTTGCACATACCACCTCTAGAAGGGGGCAATTATAGAGTATGGTGAGAGAAGTATGAGCTCACACTTGCGCTGTCCGAGAATGACTTAGCGCTAACCTCCCCATGTCCTACTGAGCTAGTGGATCCGGTGAGGGAAGAAAACGAGTCTGATGCTGATGTCACTGCTCGGCAGTGAGATCATGCAGAAGTGCGGATAAAGTATGATCTCGAACGCAAGAAATAGGACATATCAAACCGCAAGTGCTTGACGGTGGCTAAGTCCACAATTTTAGATGCTATAAGGGGGTCTATCCTAGACTGTGATACCGCCACGGAGTACCTTAAGAAGGTGGAGAGTCAGTTCACTGGCTCTTCAAAGGCTTATGCTAGTACATTGATCAAGAAATTGTTCAATAAAAAATATACTGGTGGCGACATAAGAGAGCATATATTGAAGATGAGCAACACGGCTTCGAAGCTGAAGCCAATGGATTTGGGGCTCAAGGATGAGTTCCTGATTCATTTGGTTTTTGCTTCCTTGCCAAAAGAATATGAAACATTTGTTGTTAACTACAACATGCAGCCTAACAAGTGGGACATAGAGAACCTCATTGCAATGTGTGTTCAAGAAGAGAAATGTTAAAGTCCTTACAGGGTGACTCTGCTAACCTTGTGAAGGACAAGAAAAAGAACTTCAATAAGAATGTCAAACCTTAAGGGAAAGCCCCTTAGACTAAGCATCATCAGAAGAACAACAATGCTCAAGTTGAGAAGGATCAGTGCAAATGGTGCAATAAGCATGGACACTACCAGAGGGATTGTCTAGACTTCCTGAAGAACCTACTGAAGAGAGGTAAGGA